GTCAGGGTCTGCATCATGATGGTGCCACACTAATGCACTCTCTTTAGTTTCTATATATGATCCGTCAGTTGCTTCCCTGTAAAGTTTCATCACAGGTTCCACAATTTCGTTCCATTCAAGATCAGAAGCCAAAGATTCCCAATCAGAGGTTTTACTCTCCCTGCAACAAGAGATAGCAATAGACCTTGTTATACATGAACGTGTACAAGAAAATTTGAACACAAATTCCAGATGAAAAACAACAGTCCAACTGCAAATCAAGGAGACTATCTGACAATTAGCATGAAAGCAACCCTACAAATAAAAGATGGTTAGCTCTGTACCTTATGAAGTATCCATGTTCAGCAGCTATTCCAAGCCTTTCACATGGAGCAAGCCATTCGCTTAATGAGGTCCTTCCTCTGCCACTAACAATATACACAGTGTTTTTAGGGTCATTGCTTAGAGTGTTCAACAGTGTAATAACTTCGGCACTTGGAGCTTTAACCATAGATGACTGAGGTACGACAGTACCATCATAGTCCAAAAATATCGCCCTTCTCTGTGTCCTCCTATATGAGGAAACAATGTGATCTATGGACAACTTTCTAAAACTTGGCGAAAGTGCGATGACTCTGAAACCTAGGCCAAGACCAATGCCCCAACATCGCTTACTGTAATGATCTTTGCATGCTCTCTCCAAATCCTGCATGAAGCTACGGGCCCAATAAGCTACATCATGAGAGCTAACATAGCGGTAATGCTTCTCGTGACGAAGCACTTTCTCAGAATCCGACATTGTGATGGCCACATTTAAAGCCTCAGCGACAGCCTCAATATCCCATGGATTTACCCTAATTGCTCCACTCAATGATGGTGAACAACCAATAAATTCTGACACAACAAGCATGCTAGTTCTAAGAGAATCAGCTTTGATACCCATAGCCTCATCCATACCAAGAGAACCCTGCCTACAGACAATATACTTGTAAGGCACTAAATTCATCCCATCCCTCACAGCATTGACTATGCAACAATCAGCAACAGCATAATATGCAGTCTTCTCATAGCGAGCAACTGGACGATCAATCAAAATTACAGGCTCATAATTAGATCTTCCATAAATTTGATTGATCCTGTCAACAGTCAAATATGCCTCCCTCTTAGCTTCCTGGACATCTTTCCCAGAGCTACGAGCAGGATTTACTATTTGGACAAGGACAAGTTTACCCTGCAAATCCTCATGCTGCTGTAGTAGGTGTTCAAAAGCTAGTAATTTCAAACTAATACCTTTAAAGATGTCCATATCATCCACACCAAGAATGACTTTCATTCCCTTGAACTGTTCTTGAACTTCTTTAGCTTTAGCAAATGTAGAAGAAAGATTTAACACCAACTCCAGTCGACCCTTATGTATTCCTACTGGCAGAATTTTTATGTAAACTGTACGACCAAAGTAATCAAGTCCAATGTGTCCTCGTTTAGATTCATAATCTAGACCTAGCATTCTACTGCAGCACGACAGAAAGTGACGCGCATAATCAAATGTATGAAATCCAATCAGGTCGCAGTTCAACAATCCTTTTAGAATTTCATCCCTAACTGGGAGAGTTCGGTAAATTTCTGATGATGGAAATGGGCTATGAAGAAAAAACCCAAGCTTCACTCGATGGTATCGCTTTCTTAAAAATGTTGGAAGAACCATGAGGTGGTAATCTTGAACCCATATGTAATCATCCTCGGGATTGACCACTTCCATAACCTTATCAGCAAATAGCTTATTTGCTGAGACATAAGCTTGCCAGAGCTGACGATCAAAACGATCTCCATGATCTGGGCACATGGGAAGCATGTAGTGAAAAAGTGGCCATAATTGTTGCTTACAGAAGCCATGATAAAATTTCTCCTGGATGTCACGAGGTACATAGGTAGGCACACACTTGAACTCCTCAAGTAGTCTCTGTGTAACTTCCTCCTGTTCACTCAGTTCCACATCAACCTTGAGAGAACCCACATAGATAACCTCAGTTTCAGGTGAAAAGCCATCCTTCAGTTGCAATAAAAGAGAATCCTCATCCAAACTAAAGCACCACTTTTCAGCTGCTGTATCCCTTTGAGCATGCAAAGGCAGCATGTTAGCAACAATAATTTTTCGCTCATGACAAGCAGATGTTATACTATCTGAATCCCCATCATTGCTTCCATAACCACCAGCGATGATTCCAGGAACAGTCATCACCCGGGGAAGAGCTCTAGGAATCTGAGGTATATCCAGTATCTCCACAGATGCCAAGTCAAAAAAGTTTGCACAAGATCTTGATGCCATGACTCTGAAGTAAAATTTAGCTTACGTTGTCATAAATATTTTGCTGAAATCTGTGAAACCTAAGAAAATTGTACCCCAGCAATTGCAGAATAAATGTTTTCCTGCAGTCTACAACACTGAAACACAAGGGAAAATATCAATCACGATTTTTCTCGCATGTGCATCACAGGACTTCCACATTCTCAATTTCACACAATTCCAGAGAACAATGTCACCCATACTAAAGACGAAAAAGGAAACAGAACTGTTGAGTAAGAAATAATCTCAAAGTAAGTTTTTATATGGTTGTGAAGACATTGTAACAGGACCCTCTTCAAGGGATTCATCAATTAGATAATCAAGATGAAATGAAATGTAACCCTTCAGAACTCAACAGTAATAATGTCTTTATATTAAAGGTTCCAAGTAGACAAGTACAATATACAGAAGGAAGAAATACAATCTATTCTTAACGGGTTGGAGTGGTGGGTTAAGGATGGGTATACCAGGAAAACAAACACTTTGGAATGTGATCGCATCGGGGTTATGGTCTTAGCATTATAACAGACATGTGGCGTTTTAACAAACCTTGGCCATCTTGTAGCAATAATGGCGATTCTTGAGCTGAAAGCCAACTTTATTGTTATTTAAGGCCTGTGAATAAACCATACACCAAGAGTTACAGTTCTAAAAGGACGATTGAGTTCAGATCTATTATTTCATGTGTCGGGTACACTAGTTCAGGTTTCAAAGGGGCCTGGGAATGATATTCAGTAAGCAAGCCTCTCGAGAACCAGCTTACAGGTGAGTTCAGGTGAATTATTCATTGCCTTTTAACTTTCAGATTAAAGAAAGTGATTAAACATTCAAAAGCTGCTTCAAAACAATAATGATAACCTTTCTTCTTCCCCCTCAATATATAATTAGCAATATGGACCTAAACTTAAACCCAAGAGGGTGACCTAGCACTCAATGAAGTTACATGAAAGCCATAGAGGCCAGAGTTCAAATTCCCGTAGAGGCTACATACACTAGGTGAATTATTCTCATCTGCCAAAGGTTTGATGGACAAAATTACCTGATACTTATTTTGGTGCGAGAAAGCAGGCATACGGTGGAACATTCGAGGTTTGAACAAACCGGAGAACTCACTTCCAATATCCCAAATAGATCTTCTAAATCTGGTTGATGAAGAATATGCAAGAGAAAGATTTCAAATAGGTGATAAACAATAAAAGATGGCATGATACTAATTGTTATTACGTAATGGACCTTCCTATTCCAATATCTATATGAAAATATCAATGACTATTGGAGCTGTTCGAATCAAATAGATAGCTTTATGGTCAAACCACAAAGATTTCATTCAAAAAAAGACTACCGGTTTGGCCTAGTATACTGCGATGTGTGATTTGATCGAAATTCTGATTTTACAGACTCGGAAGGAGAAACCGTCATCCCAGTCAATCAAATTGGGATGCCCTGGACCTGACATATCACTTGGAAAGAGTAACATGAAGCACAGAATTGGGGTGTAGTCAATACTCCCAAATAAAAAGGGAATTGATCTATGGTCGATTTCGTAACAAATCAAATAAAGAGGAATTTCTATTTGTACCTCGAAAAAAAGCTTTTTATTTTGTGGAATGAACCGNATTTCGTAACAAATCAAATAAAGAGGAATTTCTATTTGTACCTCGTAAAAAAAGCTTTTTATTTTGTAGAATGAAACATTTCCTTTCTTTTCGTGGAAAGAAATTATGTTCAAGTAAGCAAATATGTCATGGTTCTAGGAGTCTATCTATCGCGTATAGACTTTAAGGGCGTGGTGGCCTAACCATCGAGGTGAAGTCGGGACCTAAAAGATCGAATGGAACAATATATAGACAAGTAAATCCCTTATGGGTTCCAAGGTATTCCTTTAATTATTAAGAGTTAAGGGATTTATCATTCAAAGGGAAGTAGACTACTCAAGAATTTTCTATTTTATTTGTTGGAATTGAATTTGAATAAAGAATTAATAGAAGACGGAATCACTGAAATCTTGTTTCGTCTTCACTGGGAACTTGAGTAAGGAGTAGACCTTTTTATTTTGGGATTTTCTAGAGTTTGAAAACGAGAACTCCTTTCCTTATTTGGTGTACCTACTTGAGCCGGATGAAAGGAAACTTTCACGTCCGATTTTGAAGGGGGGGAGATCCTATAGAATCCTATCCCAATTTTTCTTTTGCTAGGCCCATAACTAAAAAGCCCACTTTCTTACGATTACGAGGTTTATTCGAATATGAAATCCAATCTTGGAAATACAGTATCCCACAAAGATTTCATTCAAAAAAAGACTACCGGTTTAGTGGTACACCGCTAATGATTATCTACAAACTTTTACTCTCTCAGCTTTCTACTTATACTTGGGATTGCAAATAACATAAAAATCCTGGATAAACTAGATAGTTATATGGTCAAACAACATCAAACCCAGTGATTTCCCACAAGTAAGGTGTAGGGAGGGTAGCACACAGACTTTACCCCTACTTGGGAGGGCAGAGAGGATATTTCTGATTGACCCTCGGCTCAAGAAAAGATGAAAACAAGCAATGGCAACAAGAAATAACAACAAGAAGATATTATTAAGAAAACTGAAGCAAAAGATAGCATCAAACAGCAGGTAGTAATAGCAACCTAGGAATAAGAAAGATATCATACTAACACTAATACTACCGGTATTGGGGAAAAAAAGAAAAACGTTTGACTACCTACTAACTTTCCACCCTAATTCTTGATCTCCACACTCTCCTATCAAGGGTCATGTCCCCGATAAGATAAAGTTGCGCCATGTCCTGCCTTATCACCACTCCCCATTACTTCTTTGGCACAAAGATTTCATTTCGCAAAAGACTTTCAGATTAATAATAGACAACTGATGATTATGTACAACCTCTCTAATTAGCATAAACCCCTACTTTGGATCCGATAGTAGCTATATGGTTAAACCACAAAGATTTCATTTCGAATGGGTTAATAATAAATGATTGATAATTTTCAAAGTGTTCTCGGGGTTTTGTCTAATTAGCACATTAACCCGTACTGGAAGGGGAGCAAATAACAATATGAAATTTCACCTTCAATTTATCTTCAAAGCGGTCCATAGAGTCTCACAAGCTAGAAAATGATGACTTGACAGTCGCAGAATGGATCATCCTATGATGGTTTTGTTCTCTTATTAAATTGAACCTTGTCATCTCTAGTGCCAAACATGATGTAGCGGTTATTTCAATATAGTAGAAACAGACAAAAGTTTTACTACTATTTATATCTTAATAACAATAAAACAGCCAGTAAGTACAACCACCGGACATGAGAGCAGGTAAGCAGTGATTCTGCATAGAGATTGTGTCCAAGTCTAACTTTCCTTTCTCTTTATTCTCTTAGCAAAGGTAGGCTCAAAAGAGACCTTTGGTCTGATAAAACTGGGTTAAGGGGGCACAGTCACCCCAACAGAAAGTTCCCGTAAGGGAAGGGAGCCTTGGTAAAGTGGGTCGTATAATTAGGTTTCAAATCAAATACCAGTTAGTACAACATGTCACTACTAGCTAATAAGCCTAAACAACAGAAGACACACACTTAAAACCTACGATATACATTGTTACTATTAAAAATGCCATGGACCGAGCAAAGAGTAGCCAGTAGGGTAACTATGTTCACAAATCCTAATGCACCCTAGAAAGCATGCATTCTCATTTCTCAATGTGCCCACACCGAGATCTTCCATTATCTAAGCAGTGGTCATGTTGGGTGAAGAATGCTTGCAGCAAACACCTAGGTGTGCCCCAAGCAAAAAACCCAAAAGATTTTGCTCGAAAGTATTGTAGATTGCAAGGGAGTTTCAATAACAAGCTAGTTCATGTAGGTTACCTAGTCTGTTGTCGTGTGTCAACTCCACTTTTGTAGCATCAAGTACAACCAAAGAAAATCTCTGATGGAAAAAACATAGATCTAGTAGCGTCTGATATCATGAAGATTCTTCTGTGTGTATGATCATCATGCGTATATCGAACCTTCGTTGGATATCACCAAAAAATAGGTATAATAAATCCTGGTGGATATTAGCTAAAAAAACTCAAATGACTGATATCCTACCCTTCTCAGACTATCTAAATATGTTATTTTGTCGCATTATGAATAGCATTAATTTTACTTTGAGGTGTTGCATTCAACCTTAGTATGATGAGATATTTAGCTTTGTCCGGTCGATGCAAACAAACTACTAAATATTAGGTTTGTCTGGTCGACGCGATGCACACAAACTACTAAAAATTAGTCCTTTATGGTCGATTCACATAAACTACAAAAAACTTCTAACGGCTACCTATAGATCTATCTGGTTTGACATGATTGTCATTTTGTATTTAAATAGTTATATGTCTACCTCATAATTTTTGAAGGTTTCCAATTAAAGAAATCCTACTTTTCTTTTTTCCTTTTTTTTTGTTTGTTTTTACTCATTAATGAATGTAATTCACATGCATTCTTATGCAGAAGCTTCTACATCGGAACTAGTTGAACTTCTATTAGACATACTACTTTCTTGTACTATTAACTTCAACAACAAATGTTGAATGACTCAAACGCTCCAAGGTTCTTGAAGCTTCTTGTACTAGTTGCATGATTCAAACCCTCCAAGGTTCATAACTTTAACTACTCCATTGCTCACCCTCTAGATACTTTCCTGCCTTTTACTTTTATCTTAATTTTGGCAACGCATGCACAAACATATTGGTGACATACGTCTACATTTTCTTAATGAAGATACAAATGTATGTTGATGTAATGTTAGAGTTATGCTCCTTTAGCGGCTCGTAGGTCATGGATGCGAAGCATGCAAATAGCCTCTTCGTAAAACTGTTGAAGTTTGTGCAAGGCTTATATAGGTACTAACTTCAACATTTGCCATTTAAATCATATTGTCGTTTATTTATTTCCAGGACTCTTACACATTTAAATAGTATACTAGTATGGATCGTAAGTCATGCACGGACTGTAATGCAGGATAAATGTAGAGATTAATAATGCAGGGATTGTAATGCAATCATTATTATATGGGTATTATTTCTTGTAAAATGTACAGTTTAAAATATGTGCTTTCTTTGAATTTCAGAAAAAGAATTATCTAAAACATGAGGGTTATTTTGGTCATTTAATTTCTTTAATTTATGTATTACTAATTCCAATATTCTTATCTCACCTTTTAATCTGCATAAAATAATGCATACATTCATGTATAACTTTTTTGATAACCATAGATTCATGCATAGCTTATGCAGGTATTATTTGTTAGCAACAAAAATGACAACCAAACAATGTATAAATAGTGCTGAACTTTAGGCAGGTTAAAAGAACCAAACATTGTATTGCTTCTGCTGAATTTTGTGTGGGTTTTACCACCTCTCATAGTTGAAACAGAACGAGCACTTGGGGAGAAGGCATGTATATTTGATTTTCACTAATCTAATCAGATTCAACGAATACCACAGGACAGATCTCAAGGTTCTGTAAAAATAACCATTTTATGATGACAGTTTCGTATCCAGGAAAAACATTAAAGCTCCGGTTTGATTTTTGAGTGAGAGAAGCAAGGAATCAGGAAATAGAAAAACTAAAACGACTTGCAAATTGGAAAAAAAAAAGGAGTAACGAAAAAGTAGTAGTACTAAAACACTCCATTAAAAGCATTTTTCTTTCAATGATAGAACAAGGACCAAATTACTAATTGATTTTACCATTTCGAGATACAGGTAAAACACCATGTAAATAAATGAATCCTTAAACAATGAAAATATTATCCAAAAATGAAAAAAGTCTCACCTTAAATTCGAATTAGGCAAAATTAGAAACCTTCAAAAGTACAACTCATCAATTTCCCAATCAAAGTAAAGCAGCTTATATATCAAATGATGACTTTCAATGACTGCTCCTCAATATATACACAACTAGATATCAATCTTCCCGTTTATTGTAAAACTCATAAGAAAAAAAATTAAAAATAATACATCATAGTCAGATTCCATTTTCAATTTATTGAGCAAATAATATTTAAACATTAATTCAAAAAATGAGAAGCAGATCAAAGAAGAGGGAGGCGCATACATATAAGACTTTTGGATCCGGTGACCGGTAACTATTGCTGACGTCAGAAACCGGCGAATTTCCGAAGCGGTGACGGTTATATCACACACAAATAGATTACATATAATTAAAAGAGAAGTAGTGAATGCAGAAAAAGGAGGACAAGTTTTGTTTGATATTTCAGCTATCAACGGAAGAAATAGAGAGAGATGTCAGATATTAAAAGAGAAGTAGTGAATGCAGAAAAAGGAGGACAAGTTTTGTTTGATATTTCAGCTATCAACGGAAGAAATAGAGAGAGATGTCAGATATAGGAGTAGAAGTTCCTTTTTTTTTTCTTTTTCTTGAGCGAGGAAAATGGATAGTGGATAATGCCAGCAAATGGGGATTTTAACTGTATTTGACAGGAAGTGGTACAATCGTTGATGCAGAAGGTACGACGTGTAGATGCGCTTTATGTTTACGTGTACGACGGAGCTTTACCTTAGTTGCAACTAACCCTGGTTTCGGATAACATTTCGAGCTTTTTAATTCTCCCAAAGTCTTCATACAATTGCCCCCTTATTGCCATATTATTACGACTATGTCCTAACAACATGGTCCTAAACTCCTAATGTAGTTCATTTTTACCATTTTCTCCTTGTTTAAGTTATACTAGTGTGAGAACCCGCGTGATGCGCGGATAGAATATTAATTTTATAAAATTATGATATGATATATCATATTGTTGTAATAAATATTAGTTTTTTGTTTTATTTCTTAATATATCGTGCAGAAATATAACACAATCTGTTCAAAATCAAAAGATACACATCATATAGTAATCAAATAAATTATTTATTCCTTATTTATTATTTATTAAATTAGCAGGTACTTACTACTACTATACATTTACTAATGTGACTTTTTATTAACTTGTCAATTGGCATAATATTTTGATACTATATTTCTTTTAATATAACATGAATATACATTTCCACTCTAGGAATATTTTTATTTTTTTAAAACTTGTGTAATACTTATCAAAATTCTTCAATTGTCTAAATTTATCAATAATTTTTTTGAGTGTTACTTAATTATATTTTAATTATTAATTAATTAATTATAAATATCCTAAGATTATCTTTATCCCACTTTTTTCGTACATTCTTTTCTGCTCTAGTATTTGATTAGTTTTCTTATTTTATATTTTACTGAAAATTAAATAATGTAATATATTTTTTACTAAATTATAATTTTGAATTCATCAAAAGTATAAAGAGATAAGCCTTTTATTATGTAACAACTCGACCGGTCGTTTTGAGCTATAGCGTGCCTTTCAGCGGTTTGAGGCCTTGAGTAGCTTGATATCAGGTATTATGACTTGTACGTGTGGTCGGAATTGAATTTCGGGAAGTTCGGAGTTGATTTGGAAAGAAAATTCTAATTTCGAAAGCTGTAAATTGGAAAAATTGACTAAGGTTTGACTTTTGAGTAAACGACTTCGGAATCGGGATTTGAAGGTTCCAATAGGTTCGTATGATTATTTCGGACTTGGGCATATATTCGGGTTGAGTATCGGGTGGTCCGAAAGTATTTCGGCGCCTATTATGGAAGGTTGGCGTTTTGGAAGTTTAAGAAGTTGTTAGGTTTGATTTGAAATGAATTTTGGTGTTATCGATGTCCGTTTGGGATTCCAAGTCTTGGAATAGGTTCGTATTGTGATTTATGACTTGTGCGCAAAGTTTGGCGTCATTCTGGAGTGTTTTTGTCACGACCCAATTTTCCCTTTGTTGGGTATCGTGGTGGCACCTAGTCTTAGGGACTAGATAAGCCTAACATTTACTGAATAACAACAATAATTAAATAACATCTACCAATTTTTGAAATAAAAATCTCTATTAAATTTACAATTCCCAAAACCGATAGTACAAGTCATAAGCTCTACAGAGTTTGCTAGAAAACCTCTAAATACATCTGTTCCGAAATAGTAGTAAATAGTGTAAATACAAAAAAAAAACTAGAAGGTGACTCCGAAACCTGCGAACGCAACAGCAGGTTTACCTTGAGTCTCCACCGCAAAATCTGAATAGCTAGCTAACGATCGACTGACTTCGCAATACCTGGATCTGCATAAAAATGTGCAGAAGTGTAGTATGAGTACACCACAGCAGTACCCAACAAGTATCAAGACTAACCTCGGTGGAGTAGTGACGAGGAATAGTCAAGACACCTACTGGACTAAATAAACTGAACAAGTATAAGTGTATGACTAACAGGAATACGATATCTCTATAAAGCTATGCATAATGACAACGATAATATGGTACTTGCAATAAGAAATAGGAACAACAATTCGCAGCAAAACACAACAAGTAACAACACAGTAGGGTAAGCTGGGCACAGTCTAAAACCGGAGAACACAACTAAAAGAAATACAGGTATCAATTAGATGAAAATAACCGCTTTCACATCAGGTTTTATCCAATAATCACCACGAGGCACCGAACCTCAAAATATTCAAAATTCACGGGTTCCAATTTGTGAACCCTAAACACTTAGCATCTTGTGCCTTCGCTACAAACAAAAACTGTATGGATGACTCACGTGCCAATAGAACTAGACGAGGGTGTGTATCAATACTCAACAATATCAAGATCCATCATATTAACCGATAAGAGTGATTAACTGCGTGTATGTTTGTGCTAGTGTTCTAACATAGTTCATGCCAGCTAGTAAGTATAGAGAAAATGGACAGAAAGTAAGATGTTTTCCCATAATTTTTTACAAGATAAAACTCGCAC